CCTAGCTCATATAAACTTTTACTTACCAAACAAGGTGTCCTCAAAAGATTTAATAATTGGTCTACTAAAAATAAAGTTCTCTAAAAACCATTTATGCGCTTGGGATTAATTCAGTCTGGTGAAAGCCTTGGGACAAGGGGTGCCTTGCAAGAAAGTAGCAAGAACAGGTGAATTGAAGTGACATCATTGGTTACTTGATCGATCTTTGATTAAGGTTTTCGGAGGTGGTAGTATCAATAATAAACCTAGGGTTTGTAGGGATAAAGTTCTTCATCTCTTATATACACATATTTGTAAAGTAAGATATGTTATAATATCTCAATCTGAATTCAAATTGAGGGCATATGTACCCATAGCGAGGCCGATTCGGGAAATACCTAAACAAATCCTTGTGTCATCTATTTCTCTCTCTCTCTCTCTATCTATCTATCTATCTATCTATTTATCTTCCTCTCTCTCTCTCTCTCTCTCTCTCTCTCTCTCTCTCTTTATTTCTTTAATTTTGTGTTTTCAAATTATTGAATTTATTGTTCGTTTGATCATTTCGTTTGTGAATTATTTTTTATCATATTTTGAATTAGGTTTTGTTGATATAATCATAATCCGTTTGATTGTGATTGGTTTTTAAGATCAACAAAATAAAGCAAATTTCCAACCGATATTGATTGCACATAAAGTGTTCAATAAATTGCTTTATTGTGTTTTGTGAATAAGCTTTACGTATAGCTTAACATTCAATTGTTTGTGATTAATAGTTGTTGGACAATCTATGTTCATTATCATAAGTTTATGTACCTTTACGCATATCTGAGCTTTTTGATAGAGGTCTGGTTAGATGATTGCATTCAGATTATTTTTGTTATGTCATAAAACTTTTCAAACTTATTTTTGCCAAAAAAATTTACATGTGATCTATTCACCCCCTCTCCCCTTTAAATTGAAGTCTATCGTCTAACAAAGGAGACTAAGATTTGATATGAGTTTGTAGTGGAGGGGACTACATTTTTTATACAACTACCATGGGTCATACTTAGACGTCAGACATCTGCCATAGGTCATTATGTGATGCTTGAGATTACTCTTTGCAAATAGAGGTATGATGAGCAAACTTATCATGTCATATATGTTTTTTTCTATTCCCATTTTATTGTAAATTTGAATAAAATATCAGAAATGATAACCAAATTAAAAGTATAGCAAAACTAAGTTACTTACATTCATTTTGGAAGGTTCCTTTTGGACGACGCTATTATGGTTCCGAAAGCGTTCTTTTAGTCGTAATTAAAATAGAATCCGTAAAGATTCTTCTAAAACTAATTCAAACATGACAAAATCATCTATTAACGATTGAAGAGAAACATCATCCAAAATGTAAGAGACCTTTCGTGTGTTATTTGCTTTGAAGAGGAAGAAAGTTTGGACCATTTGTTTCTTTACTGTGTGATTTCTAAGAACATTGGAGAGGAATCCTAGTTTGGTTTGGTATAGATGTGGTTTTCTTTGCTAATTAATTGTATATATGCATTTAATTTTCATTCAGACTCGTAACAAAAGTACCTAAGCTTGAGTGAGGCAACTATGATATGATTGGCAATGTGCTAGTGCATCTAGTTAGGTAGAAACACCACTTTATTTTGTAGTTCTATTGTTAATGTAGATGACATTGTGGCCTCTGTCAAACGCCTCACTTGGAATTGGATAACTATAGGTGAATTTTTACTATTGGGCCATGTTTTTACAAAATATATCCCATATTGCCACACTTTCAAACAAAACAAAAACGTAGACGTAGGCACTACAGCTCATTGCAAGGGTGGGCCCTATTTAAAAACAACACTACCGGCCCTTAAATGGGAGGCACAGGCAAAGTTATATATATATTTTTTAATTTTTAATAATTGACATAAATATTATAACAATTAATATATATTAATTAATATAATTATAATAATATATTAAGAATTAATATAATTATATTAATATTAATATATATTAATTAGTATAATTATATGAATATATTAAGAATTAATATAATTATATAAATGAATAATATATATTAATGTTAACAATTAGTATAATTAATATTATTTATTAATATATAATTATGTTAATATAATTATTATTGATACATTAAAAATTAATATAATTATTATTAATATAAATTAATACAATTATTATTAGTATATTAACAATTAATATAATTAATATTAATTATTAATTATTAATATAATTAACAATAAAATAAAATAAATTAATATGAATAATTCAAATTTATTATTTTAGTACAGTTATGTCACTGAAATGGACGAGTCTTTTGAATATTTTATTATTTTAGTACAGTTTTATCACTACAATGGGTGAATCCTTTAAATATTTTATTATTTTAGTACAGTTTTGTCACTGTAATGGATGGATCCTTTGAATATTTTATTAATTAAGTACAGTTCTGGCACTTTTATGGGCAAATTTTTTGAATATTTTATTAATTAAGTACAATGCAAATCAAATATAAATAGAGGTATGGTGTGAACGATATTTTCATATCTATTATAATTTTCTTCTATTAGCTTTAACATTTATCTTCGCTGCTACGGGAAAGTCGAAAAAAAGACAAACCGCCAATGGATATGCTTTTTTGGAACATTTGTAGTTTATAACAACTACATGGGGAGTTGAATCGTTGGTTAGACGAAGACATACCAGAAGGGAAAAAAATTAGAAGTATTGAGAGGCACGATGCCCGACATGGGTGGGTGAGAGTTAAGAATGATAAGGAAGCGAGGGAAATGATATTTGGACAAAATGAAATCAAATTAATGATTGTAATCAGTTAGAAATGTTGTGTTGAATGTTATTTTTAAGTATTTTTATCTGTCTTGATATCTGTTGTATGTGTTATGTTGTTTATTTAGGCATAAAGTTGTTTGTTTTGTGATATTTGATTTCTTGTTATTTATATTTGGTACTCAATGATTAATGGTTTAGAAAATTGAGAAGCTTGATATTAATCTAAAAAACAATACATCATAAAAAAACACTAACTATTAGTAGTTCCCTCATTGGGACACCGAGTTCGGTTGTGACTAGTTTGACGACACATGAAACATTTTCTCTCAAGCTTATCAATGTTATCCATTTTCGTTTGATACGTGTGCTTACTGGGTGACCTTTCTTGTTCCTCTGCATTCTCGGATTATGAAAAATTTTGATCTCCTTCATAAACGAGTCAATATTCATCGTATGGCAGCACTGGGAAGCTTACGTTATAAACCCCAATCAGGTTTGCAACTTTGTAAACGTTGTACAAAAGAGCATATGCGTCGTGGCGCACATTAGAACATGCAGCGATAACATGTGAGCAAGGGACACAATATACCTGAAACTTTCCGCAGTCACACCGATCATTTATTAGGTTGACCTTGTAATGTCCTAGAGGTTTCCCCTCACCGTGGTTCATTATCTCCTTCACACTAAAAATATTATTAGTGTAGTAAAAAATTATGACTTGCTGTGTGCTGAATTTTGCCGTTTATTCTTTCATCACCTTGACGCAATTGTCAGTAAATGTTTGGCCTGGACTCAATATTGCACTCCACTTTGCACCCATTTCAGCAAATAATGATCCCAGTCTATAGTATGTTGCACTTATCAATACTGTAATGGGTAAATTACGGGTGCCTTTATAGATAGAATTCATTGACTCAACAAGGTTGGTTGTCATGTGACCCCAACGTCGATCCCCGTCAAATGCCCTCGTCCATTTTTCTACTGAAATATTGTATATCCACCTTAAAGCATCACCATTAGCCATGTTAATTTCAGACCGGTAATACTGAAATATTGGTGGTTTAAAGCATACCTGACATGTTAAAAAAATTGTTAATTTTATAATATATATATATATATATATATATATATATATATATATATATATATATATATATATATATATATATATATATATATATATATATATATATATATATATATATATATATATATATATATATATAATTGTCATGGATAAATGTTAGCAAATATACTTACCCATGTTAATAACTTTTTTCGGAGGTTTCTATCCTTAATTTCTCTCATGAAATTATCCCCAATGTGTCTCATATAATAGGCACGCACTGATGGGGGATTATGCCAATCATTATCTGGATTATTGTATGCACTTTCAATTGAGGTATGCCTGTCTGAAATCAAACATAGGCCAGGTTGAGGAGCAACATGCCTCCTCAAGTTTCGTAGAAAGAACCCCCAACCTTCAGTTGTCTCACCTTCCACAAGGGTAAAAGTAATTGGGTAAATATTATTGTTGCCATCTTGTGCCACCCCCATAAGCAGCATTCCTTTGTACTTACCATATAAGCATGTTCCATAAAATTGAAGTATAGGCTTGCAATATGCAAAACCTCTAATGCATGGTTGGAATGCCCAAAATAGCTGGTGGAAGATGTGCTTCCCTTCAACAATGGTTCCTTCATCTGTATACATGGGTAGTGTTTCCATTTCCAACATTGTACCCGGAACAAATTTTTTAAGTGCTAACTGGAAATGTGGAAGTTCTTTGTATGAATTCTCCCAGTTACCGTATACCTGTTCAATTGCTTTGTTCCTTGCAATCCATATTTTCCTATATGACAGAGTGAAATTGTATTCATAAACAATTTTACTAATGCAAACACTCACCTTGATAGAAGGATCCTTGTCTACCAAAGACATTAAAAGTTGAGACGTTAGCTAGGAGCTAAGTTTCTGATGATCCTGATTAAACATAGTTGTTGAACAACTATGTGGGGGGTTCATAATGCTTATCTCCCACAAGCCACTTCTTTTTATGTAGGACACCAATAGAAGAAACTTGCAGGTACCAGTTTTGCAATAAATGTTTCATGTGATATTGCTTTATGGAAAGCACACAGTCACCTTTATTTTTAAATTGGTTACTGACATCTATGTCACCTTCCATCAGAAAACGAGGATTGCAAGGCCATTCAAAGGATGATCCTTCTCCACATAAGGGCAGGTTTATCATGTGGGCAGAAAACATTCTCGACTGGAATGTGTTGTTCATCATTGTTGCCTTTATTAACATTGTCTCCTTCCTCAAATAAAGTAGTATAGTAATCATCAACTTGTGCTTCATTTTCTTCTTCAACATCTTCGTTTAGAATGATGGTTGGTGCATCTTCCTCCGATGTATTGATTATCTGTGACATTTGGGTGGGTTGACATTGTTCAAATCTTATATATAGATCAATGTACGGAAACCTAAAACATTCATGATTTGAAAACATCGTTTCAACATCCTTGTCGCCATGAACCTTCAACGGAACAAATTTAAATTGATTGTTTCCAAAATGGACAACACTTCTATAAATAATCTGTGAACCCGGTCCTGCTTGAACCTTCATCTCTAAACTTTCTTTAAAATGTTGGAATGAGGACCTTCTATTAATACTGAAATGACTAATTTCAATATTTTCAAAGATCAAGTCCACTTCATCAGATACAATAACATTTCCATTGTGATGGGCATTAATAACATATTTTTGAATGTGAGACATGATATAACAAATGATAGTTATAAAATTGTTTTTTCACTATGGAAAAATTGCATGAACAATTGAAAATGTTTGATGGATGGTGTAAAAATTGCATGAACAAATGATAGTTATAAAGGATATGAATTTTGTCAAAAAAACATGTAAATACATGCTGATACGTACTGGTCAATGGTCAAACCATGTAAATACACACTTCCGCCAATCCAAAATGCGGATGTCAGCAAAACTACAAGGGTGTCGCCCATTCAAAGGGCGGTTTTAAAAAAATCAAATACCTGCGGCCCATTCAGGAAACAACATCCTTGTATGTCTGCAGACACAATAAGGTCTGTCGCCCATTTAGGGGGCGTGTGTCAAGAACGACATTAACTGTGAAGCCCATTGCTTCTGCGGTAGTCAGACAATTTAAAGTGTGTCGCCCATTCCAAGGGCGACTATCTATAAATTCAAATTTTTTCAGCATGCATGCAATAAACACATAACCAGCATGCAATCAATATTTTCAACAGCCAATTTATCATCTCTACCAACATTACATACCAACATAAATCACAATTATCACCTCCACCAACATACATTTTCTATAAATACCTTACCATCTCTATTACAAAATTCATCTCTTCATCGAAAATCAACTACCACTTTTACAAAATTGATCTCTTCCAAAATGTCTTTGTTAACATATGGAGAACAACATTGAGGAACACCTACAAATATTACTGCATATGTAACTCTTGAAAATTTTTTACATATTGTTGCATGTAGGTTTCTACAACATTTATAATATGTTTCACTTTTGTTGAAATGCATCATTCGGATAGGGTTAAACTTCAATTCGGGATTCAACAAGAAATTTCTGGTCCACCTAGGTGCATGGAGAAGTATCACAAGAGTCAAATAACAGACCAATGAAAATTCGACAATTGGAAAAGCCATTATAGACAAGAACTTCAGCAATGGAAAAATCGTCACCACACTGTCTTACAAAGAGATGTCATGGAAACCGAATGTAAACCTAGTAGGGAATACATGAATTGGTATAGATATATGACTATTTTGCATCTATCATAAAATATATACCTCTTTGACCCTCGTAGCCAACCCACATCTTCAAACTTCCAACATACCAGACCAGCATGTAACACCTAACCACAAACATTTAACACCCCACAACAAATATTTAACACCCAACAACAAACATTTAACAATCAACAACCTTTCAACCCAACACAACAACCTTATACCCCAAGCCAACACTACCATCAATCATACCCATCATTTAACCCAACCCCCTTCAACACCCAACAAAAAAACCCTCATCTTCGTACACCTAACAACAAACACCATCCACCATCTTTATAACCAATACTCATTCTCTCAACCTACCCCACAAGAACACAACTATCAAACACCCGAACCACGAGTCCCTTTTGACCACTCACAAACTTTCACCCTTAATTCATCCCAAGACTAACACTCATACACCCTCTACATGACTAACACAATGCCACTTACCACCCTACCAAATTGGAGTAACGAGGGAATAGGGTTAAGTTATGGCAGTGTGACGATGATACCGAATGTGGACGAGTTTAGTGATGATATGGTCGCTGAATTCATGAATCGTCGGAATGTTGCATGACTATTAGGGACCAATTGGTATTAATTTTTATATATTTTATCGGTCCCTTTTTACCAATTTCTTATTAAATTCACACAAGTTTTTATCACAATTTAGTAAAACATTCAATTTTAGTTATTTTGTTTTGTTCGAATAGATATTTCACTTTTTCTTTAAGTCTTGTAGAAATTTTGTCAAGAAAAGAATGATTGCATAAAAATATCTCCGGAGCAATAATTGAAGAACAAAGTCGGAAAAAGCAATGCGAAGCAACAAAGCAAGCAATTCTGTTTTTTGACAGTTCGCGCCGCGAACTGAGTGCATTTCAGCCACATGCAAAGTAATGACACATGTCCTGTCTTGGAAGTAAAACCACTTTTTGTAGGGTGGCGCCCCATAGGCTATTTATGGCACTTTTTCCTTGCATGTTGGACATAATCATTACACTTGAGAGTCTTAGTATCTCTTAGGTTTGTAAGAAGATTTTAGAGAGATTTTCTTGTTTTCTTTGAGGAAGCTTCATGCAAGAAGAAATTCTTGAAGAATTTTCCATGGAATCAATGAAGATGATGAGTAGCTAAATTCCTTCTTGGCAAGGTTGAGGTAGTAGTTATCTTTTGTTGTTTATGTAATATTTGTATCCTTGCATGTAACAAACTTCATCTTTGATAAGGAATAATATTTTTTCTCTTTACATTACAAAATTAGAATTGAATTATTGTTGAGAAAGGTAGTTTGATTCTTGAACTAAAATATTTTTCCAAGTAGAGAATAAATTGTAGAGATAGATTTATTCACTAATTTTTCTATTGTGTTAAGCATTCAAGATTATTATATCAATAGTTAGATGGAGAGATCGTCTAAGGATTTATATAGTAACTATCACAATTTTATTTAGACATAAATATTATTGAGAGGACACTTGAATATTATCAATGGAGTTTGAATGCATGCATGTGATATTAAGAATACATAAATAACAAAGATAATGAAACTCAATCTTGACAAGGTTTCTAAACTTTATTCTAAAACCATTTTTATTTATCCTATTTTTCTTATAAGTAAAAAGAACCATTTATTCATCAACAAACACTTTGAATATCTTTGAACTTACAACAATCGAAATTATAGAACGGCGGTAATAACACCAATCTCTGTGAATACGATATTAAAAATATTTGCCGGAAATATACTTTTCAACAATGACCTTTTACTCAACTCACAAATGTTGATGAAAATCGTAGAAGGTATACCCAAATTGGGCAGGCTCCTGCCTGTGGAACCCACCAACGCTTTCATCGTCCCGGTCAAAATCGATGATAGAAATGAGTTTAATGTACTCTCTTTTTTTCATAAATAAATAAATATTTATTTCAATTATTATTTATTTTATTTTATTATTATTTTATCAATTTTATATATATATATATATATATATATATATATATATATATATATATATATATATATTTTAATTACAAAATTAAATAATTAAATTATTTATAGTTATTAGAAATTTATTTATTTAATTAAAACATAATTATTATATTTTAAAACTAATTTTACCATTTAATTACAAGACTGGTGCTAAAGGGGCTTCCACCTCTCATGGCGGCGACGCCCTTCGACAAAGAGACGGAGCCACAACGTTTCCATCCCCTGCTCGCACAAACCATGGCGAAGCCCCACTTGTTCTGCAGCACCTTCTGGTTCCAGTTCCTCCCAACGCCGACCTGACCATGGCGGCCCTCGAGGTCCTCAACAAAACCATCCTCAACCAAAGCGCAAGAATTAAAGCACTGGAAGAATCTCGTCGTCCAAAATCCTCTCCACCGAGGAAAGAGCGTCAAAAATGACGGAGTCCCCCTCGTCGACGCGAGAAAAACTGTCAAACGCCTCCAGAACCAGAGACCCTAACCGTCCGCAAACGCGACCTGATTTCTCCCAAGAACCAGCAATCTTCATATCCCAAGAGGATCCGAAGAGGGCACCAGGTAGAGTCTTCACGATCTCCACCTAGGTCTATGAGCCGAGCATGAAACCCATCTCCGTGACGTGGCCACCATCACACCTATGGACGTGATACCCGCTCCCTGTCCTGGACCAACGATAGCAGCAACGACGAGCCTCGTGGCTCGTTGTCCCAAGAAATCATAGTCATGCGCCTCCCAAAGGGACTAGAGAAACCGCCTTCTCTAGACACATACGACAGAACAACCGACCCTGAAGAGCACATCGAAAACATCGATGTGCTACTCGACTATCATGACATCTGGGGCGCCATCAAATGCAGCTTATTCCCGACCACACTCAGGAAAGGGGCCAAGACATGGTACAAAGGACTCCTGGAAAGGGCTGGAAATGAGTCGAGTCGAGTCGAACTCACCTCAGCTCGGCTCGACTCGTTAAGAATTGTTCGAATTCGAGTTCGAGTTCGAGTTTGACACGAACTTTTTTTTAAGCTCAAACTCGACTCGTTATAAGTTCACGAACAGTTCGGTTCGACTCGTTAGGTTCATCTCATTAGGTTCAGCTCACATGGTTCACGAACTTAAAAACTATTTTTTTTGAATATATATATTTTTTAGTATATTTGACATTTAAAATAAATATATATATTTTAAACAAAATATTAAAATAAAATAAAAGTTATCATATTGAAATTTAACTTTATCTTCGAAATCTACTAATTCAAAACCCACACAACTTTCAAGAGATACATTTAAGAGTCTAATTCAAAAACTACTAAATTGAAGATTAAATTTGTCTAAGATTTGAAGTAAATATTTAAACCTAATCTTAAAGACAATATAATTCTTTTCATATGTAATCGAGTTGACTCATGAACCTAACGAGTCGAACTATGTATAGTTCAAGTTCAGCTCATTTAGTTAACGAACTTAATTTTTCGCTCATACTCAACTCATTTGGTTCATGAACCTACTTCAACGATTTAATTGTCGAGTCGAATTCCGAACTATCTTCGAGTTGGTTTGGTTCATTGCCAGCCCTACTCCCGGACGACTCCATCACCTTGTGGAGGAAATTAGGGAGACTCTTCTCCAGACATTTCATAGTTTGTCGCCAACATCCAAAGACCGAAGCCTCCCTCGAGGCTATCATTCAAGGCAGAGGACGAACTTCTGTGAGCCTACATTGAAAGGTTCAATAAGGAGGTCGTCCAAATCTCCACCACTGATGACATGAAGAGATTCTTGCTGGAACGCGGGCTTCTTCCCTGCACAGACTTCACTAAAGTTATAGGCCTCTGGCCCTCGACAACACTCGATGCTTTCCTCCTTAGAGCTCAGTCGTACATTCTGTACGAGGAGAAAGAGGCTTCCAGCTCCACCCGTGAGTCCAGGCACAAGGAGAATTC